CCCCTCCCGCCGCCGTCGCCTCCGCCCGCTCCTCAGCGCCGCCCCGGCCCGGCGGGCCTCGGCCGGCCGGCACTGCGAGGCATGAACGGCGAACAACGCTGGTGCGAGCTGCGGAGGCGGGGCCGCCCTCCCTCGGGCCGCCCTCCCTCAGGCCGCCGCCGCCCTCCCTCCCTCAGGCCGCAGCCCCGTGTCGCCGGTCTCCGCGTCGCCCCCTGGCGGCCGCGGGCGGGGGGGCAGGAGCGCGTTTCTGGCGGTCCCTCGAAAGCCCGCTTGGCTTCGGCGCCCCGGCGTCGCTGCGGTAGGGACGTGGTGGGCCCGGGCTCGGAGGGGAGCGGGAGAAGGTCTGCCATTGCGGCCTTCAGGGCTTCCCTCCGCCTCGGAGACGGCGGGCAGGCCGTTCGCCGCCGCCCCTGTCCAACCGACACGGCGTGGCATCGAAAGGCAGCACGGGCCGTAGGTTTCAGCATTCAGCCCCCTTCTCTAATAGATAAAATAGCTGTATTGCACGCTTTTTTTTTTTTCTTCCCACTCGTAAAACAAGGATTACACTCCTGTGTAGCGGGCCGTAGGTTTCAGCATTCAGCCTCCTTCTCTAAATACTCGTAAAACAAGGATTACACTCCTGTGTAACTCCTGTGGCATCTGTGGTGAAAAGCTTTGCCGGCACAGCTTTGAAGAGTGCAATAAATCATGGTTCTCATTGAGGCTGTTAAGATAAAAAAATCCTGGTGTAGGGATCAGCACACTCAGAAAAGACATTTTGTGGGGAAAATACTATAGATTACTGAATTTCACCGAATTTTTAGAGTTGGAAGGGACCATAGAGATCATCTAGTCCAACTCCCCGGCTGAAGGAGGACCACCCAGAGCATGTCAGAGCATGTTACTCAGGACTGCATCCAGGTGGGTCTTGAAAATCTCCAAAGAAGGGGACTCCACGACCTCCCTGGGCAGCCTGTTCCAGGGCTCCATCACCCTCACTGTGAAAAAGTTCTTCCTCATATTCAAGTGGAACCCTTTATGTTCCAACTTGTGCCCATTGCCCCTTGTCCTCTCACTGGCAACTACTGAAAAGAGTCTGGTTCCCCATCCTGCTCTTCCAAACTGGCCCCTACAGAGAAGATTTGTTGAAGGGGCTGTACCCAAAGGTCAGTAAAAAACCTTGCCCGAGTGACTCAGGCTCACAATGGTTGGGAGTGCATATGTTTATTGTCTGCTACGTGTATGCAGCAGCTGTAGATTCATCACACCGCTAACAAAGGCCCCTTTCTCAGAAAAGCTAAGACTTTTTTTTTTCTTTGCCAGGCTTAAGATATGTTTTTGTTCTAAAGAAAAAATCTTGAGACAGTCAAAGTAATGAGAGGTTGTAAAGTACATCTTGTTACTTCTGGAAATGTATCAAAGTAAATTTCGGGCCCCTGTGACCCCTTCAGTAGATGTTCTGTATGCTTAACCTGAAAAGAAGTGCACTTCCATATTTTTTTTAAATATTTCATTCTTTTTATTAAATCTAATGTCAGTCTTGCAACAAAGCAAACATCTGTGGAACACAGAATTGTTCTGTTTATGATGAAAGGCCTCAGTAATTTGTTTGTGGCTTCACTTGCTGTAAATTATGAGGTCTTGTCTTTAAATATATGATGGCTTCCATATTTCACAAATTCATCTGGCTCTAAAAATTGCTCCTTATTTACTCCATATAAGGTCTTACATTTTTCACAGCTCTCCTCTGGCAGGACTAGGACAGTGTGAGATGGGAGAAAGACGATGGAGGCGTTGCTGTAGTAAGTATTTCTTATGAAACATGGATTGGCTACATTAAGTCTATATACTATGATGCTATGGAATTTGATATTAACACAAAGGGTCAGAAATCTTTTAAAGTTTGATCTTTTATCTCGAGAACCAGGGAGCTCTATGTGGCAGTCATAATGTTTAGGCACTGATGTTAACAGTAACATTAAAAGAAACGCCTGTTAAGCCAAAACACTTGTTTATTGCAATTACATCCATGACTCCATGGGAAAACTTCTGTAAAAGCTTTCTAAGTTAATCAGTAAAGTATTTTACAGGATTAGTTTCCTGTCTGACCCTACCTAGGCTTTAGCATCCCTTCACCTTGGGCGGAGTTACCCCAAAATTGGGTGCTCTTTGGAAACTGCTGCTGCCTTCCCTGGGTGTGCTGCCTGCTAAAGACTAAAGCAAAGGAGTGGGCCACCAAATCACACACAGTTGCCCCAGATCCACACCATTTTTCACAAGGTATTAGTACTGATAGTGTCCTATCCACATCCGTGTGTATTTTACTCCCCTCCCTTCAGGCAGTTCCCTCATGACTCATACACTTTTTTTTTTTTTTAATTTCCTGTACAGAAATGAATAACTTTGCAATTTGCTAAGTAAAATCTCTTAATGCTAGAACAAAATCAGAAACCTAGCGCTTAAATAGCTTTTTTAAAGCAATTTGATTTTGTAAAGTTCTTTGCAATCTTTTTGGATGTTTTTTACGTTAGTGCATGAATTAATTATTACTGTAGATCAATATCCCTAAAAATACATTTGTATTATGGCAGGTATTGTATATACTCTGGCAGTCGTGTACATGCTTGCTACATGTATTTTGCTTTCTCTTACAGAGTAAAATATCCTTGTATGCCTGCACACAGACGGGGCCCATCACCCAGAGAGCCAAGCTTCAGCTTCTCAAGGTATATATTGACCTAAAGATTTATTTACTTGGCTAGTGAGATTTACCAAGCTCTGAAGTTGGCTGGATAGTGAGCTCCCATTGAAAGCTGCTGGATTTCCTGACCTGAGTTTTGCAGTATGACATTTAGCTCCACTTAGCGAGCGTTGCCTTAAGTTCACTGCAGTTAATAAGACACTCAGGACTACAGAGGTTCTTTTGTGTGAGACAACAAGAGCGTGTAAGGAAGCCTTAGCCAGGTGGGTGGTGCTCAGTAGTCATGTAACTGCTCAGTTGCTTAATAATGTGTTTCATTAAATCTGATCTACGCCAGCTGAGGAGTCGCTTCACCAGGAGCTGGAAGGTGCTGGGCAATGGAGACTGTGGTAGCAGCAGAGTGGTGTGACGAGCAGGAGGAAAGCTCTAAGTCTTTGGACCTTCTATCAGTAACAGACTGGAATAAACTCCAAGGGCAGGAGTCCAGTTGCTCCAGGTAGGCTTGTGTTTGGTGTGGCAGTGTGTCCTGACAGATCTCAAGTCAAATGGCACGACTAAGGCTGCTTATTGCTTATTGGTATTGCATTTCAATCAAAGTCAACTATTTATGTCCAAGGATTTTGAGGATCTAATTCAACATGTACAAGTGTTGGGTTAGCATCAGGTATACCTGTGCCTAGGGACACCATTGGGGACTTCAGAAGGCCTAGCTTTGGGTTAAAAGTTAGGCTTGTGAGCATTTACAGGCTCATGGTTTAGCTTTCAGGCGCAGTAACTGAGCAAAAGAGGGAAGAGAGATGTTAGCAGAGAGTATTTTTGCAAAGATTGGAAATGTACGCAGCTTTTCACATGGTAGTTAGGGGGCTTTCTTCTGTGTATTACATTTGATTTGGCTAATGAAGTAGTCAACTCAGTTTTCATAGGTATAATGATTATTTTAATCAACAAATGCATCTGCCACACGACTAATACATCAAGTAAGTACAAGGCAGTAAAGTGTCTCTCAGAATACTTAATCAGCTCACCTTTGGGACAAACTTCACCTGCCCTTTTCCCCACAGCATGAGGTCTGTTTCCAGAGGCTTCTCTGGAAAGAGGCTTCTGCATCATCCTGTGATGAGTCCATTGTGCAGCCCAGTAGATCTCAGTGTCAGGTTTTCTTCCTGCATGTGTTTTACTTTTTCTACTGGTAATTTCATCTGATTACATATAACCCTTATCCTGCTCTAAATAATTTCTCTCCCTTAACATACTCACAAATTGCATCCTAATTCCCTATCATCATTATTTTGACTAAACCACACATACTTCATTTTTTTATCTTTACTTGTAAGTTAGTTCTTTCTGGCTTCTAAAGACAAAGTCAATATAATTATAAATGACATTCTGGTTGAGTGATCTTTACGTTTGCCCTCTGTCATCTGTATGGAAATCTGTTTACAATATACAGAGCATGATATTTTTTAAACTAAATTTTATATTTATTAAAGCATCAGTTGCTGCTGATTTTAGTGTACTTAATTTTAGTTCTGTGCCATCAAATGGTGATTTTGAGGTCAGAGCAGTTACAGCATTTTAGAATTTGGTCTTTTAATCTTGTCCTAATTTGTTTGTAACCATTGAAAAGGACAGAAGAATTTTCAGGTGGTTCTTGAGTAGAAATCAGCAAGATGAAGAGAGGTGAGGTTAAGGAGTTGAGAGTGCGTGGGTGGGTGAGAAGCCACAGGACAAGAAATCGAGGACAGGGCAGAGATGGGCTGCCCACACCAAGAAGCAGGACTGATTTTCTAATCCAGGTGGCAGCAAGACTTGAACTGCCTTCAAAATGCAAGAACTACAGTAGAAGGCAGGATTCATTCTTTATTTACTTTTTATTTACTGTGCGTTCCTGGGGGTGATTTCAAGTCAAATGACCCAAGGTAATGTCTGAAGCATGAAATGAAGCCTTACAATTAGCTAATTTTAACAAACCTTCCTAGGAGACCTGTTTTGTTAATGGGCGGGGTGAAATCTTACCTGCAGTTCCATCAACTGATTGGTTTTTTTAAATTTGGCAGTGTGATCACACCCCTGCCTTTGCTTTCTTACACAGATACACATTCGTAGACCACGTGTAATTACAGTCTGGGTAATGATTGTATCTGAAGGTTTGTGGTACACGAAGCTCTCCAGGCAGCGTCACCATCCCCAGGACAGCTTGGTTAGCCACTTTGTGACTCAGCATTAAAAAATACCAGTGAAAGCATGATTTATTTTTAAACAGCGAATACAGGAGAAGCAGAAGCTCCCCTCATTGCACCCACCAGCCCGACAGCACCCGTGCAGCTCCAGCTCAAACCCAGCCATCCCTTCCCACCTGGAGAACTACAGCAGAGAACCCTCAGCTTAGTGAAATCTCCTCTTTACCAGCCTCTCACCCTCTCAAATTTTTATGCACCCTCTTAAAATACGTCTCCCTGTCACTAGTTAATGCAGGGAAATTTTTCCAGCAGGAAAATGTTCTGTTTAAATGTAAGGAAATGGGGATTATTTTTTTTCTGTATCTCTCCAAAAATAGTGCAACACCTAATTAAATATTTATGGCGCCTTAGCAGGCTCAATAAAGGAACTGTTGTCTAGAAGCCTCCGAAGCTTCGGCTTCTTACAGTAAAGGAGTGTTTCAAATGCAGGCCAAAGAGGGAGCAGGTGCAAGAGGCAGTAATTGCATACGTACGGTCCTGAGACTCTCAAACATGCAAGATTAAATTATGTCTAATACTATAGACTTCACAGCCATATGTTATAAAAATAGCTGCATTGGGACACTAGAAATCTCCACAGACATAGCCAAAAATAACCATATGAAATGCCTGGAAAGAGCAGATTCCCTAGAGGTGGGGTTTCTGGACTCTTGGAGGAAGTCTCCAGTACAGAGCAGTATCCCCTGCAGGAAGAAAACCCCACGACCTCTAGCTGTTGCTGAATTAAAAAAATTATAGCAAGTTCCAAACCCTGCATCCATACTGGTGATAGGCCTATAAATCTGTCAGGGTTCCCGCATTGTCAGAATTATTCTGTGAATTTTGTGAAAGTTGTGCAAATTGTGTGCAGGCAACGTGCTCTTTCAGCAGCCTTCCCACCCCTGTGGCAGGAATTCATGGATTCACAGATTTGGAAGAGACCTCTAGATCCCCCAGGGAAGGTCCGTACCCTACGCTGGGCTCGCCGAGGTTCACATCAGCAAAACTTACTCTGTTCTTGAGGAATAGGAAAACCATTCACAAAAATAAGAATACTGACTGTAAAATCTCAAGACAGGACTGGCTTCAGGATAAGGAATAGAAATTAATATTTAAGGCTTTTACTTTTTGGAGATCCACGGTTCGTGCAAGCTCTGCTTGCAACCAGAAACTCAGAAACAAATTGTCCGAGTGGCTTTACTACACTGGAAAGGGAATCCTGCTCTTCCCACAGCAAACAGCCTGGGACCTTCACAAACCCAAAATGATTCCTACTTGACGAGCTACATCTGCTTTTGGAGGATCTCAGATCATTTCATAACCCATTATTTAAGCTGGGTACTGTTACGTCGTGTATGTGGGAACAGTTTGACCACTGTAGAAACACAGTCCCTTTGAGAGTGATACTTCTCCAGGGCTTTGCCTGGTTTCTGGCAACTCACGAGGATGAATTTGTGTGATGTGACATCAGACTGAAGGAGGGAGGCAGCAGCAGAGCTACTGTTTCATACCAGGGATGGGATTTTCTTCACCGGATCATGCTGATATGGATCACAGAGCAACTTCATGGAGCAACCCAGAGGAGAAGGGCACCCAGGAGGGAATCAAGGAGTTACTCCAGCTCCAGTCTCTCCCATGTAAAACCCAGTCCAAAAGCTTGACCTGTGTGGCTGGTTGTTGTCTAAAAAGCTTTAGATTAAGCATCGTTAAAGATGCAGAATTCAGGAAAAGCAGGAAACCATAAATTAAAAATTGCTACGGTTCCATAAACTCCATGGTAAAGCCTGCAATGAGCTTCTCTTCTTCAGCTTCCAAAAAGCAAACGTCAGCTTGGAGGTCTGAGCCACAAACCATGAGCCTGTCAGTGCACAAACCATGATGTGCTCCTCCACGCTGGAGAGTTTATCAGTTTGGAGGTCGAGATGTGTAGCTCCTGATACTGCAGGCAGCTTGCAGCCTTAGCTCTCATTTATCTCTCTCTTAACTTAGGAGAAAACACAGTTGGCTGTGATCTATGAACTTCTGGAGCTACAAACGCATCTATTACACATAAGAAAATAACAGTAACTACGCCCATAATGTAGAGATAAAGCAGCTTATTTCATAACAATATAAACTTGGTTCTGTACACTGAAATTCTGCCAAAGGCAAGATGATTCTGGGACCAGGTCTGAAACAGAACATTTCTCTTCAAATCTCTTCGAAAGCTAAGTTCTGTAGTGCAGAAAAGAGTGATGTTGTGTAAGTGGTCTCATTGCATTGTTATGGGTGTTTTCCCCATATTTTGTCTTTCTGTATATATTTTCTTTCACAGCTCATAGCCTGCTGCTCAGTTTAATACAATGTACAGATCCACATTTTCACCAGTAGCAGAGGTGGTGCAATTTTGCATTATGGGCTGGAATTCAAATAAAAAGCCAGGTGCTGTATTGCTAGCCATAATTAAAATGAAATGAAAAATTAAATCTCTCCCCATCTCTGTTCATAGGTCGGAATAACATCTCTCAGAGCTGTAACTCACTTCTGGAAGCAGAGACAGGAGGAAACACAACCTGCACATTCTTGCACCATCTGCTGGTAGCATCTCTGTCAACAGACACACCTGGAACAGATTTGCTCGTTCCTCAGACCTGGAGGGATACATCCATGTTTAGAGACATGACCCCACCGTTACAAAGCTTCAAGATTCAGGTGAGGATATTATTTTTTTTTTCAGTTCTCCATGGCAGAGCCATTTCTGCAAGGTTTCTAGGGAATTACATACAAGGGCCCCGTGACCCCCAGTGTAACCACATCAAGAAGGGACCTGCAGAGCCTTTCGTGTCCCTGCAGGGCAGGGCAGACCAACCCTTGTTGTGGTCAAGTGTCTCATTGCCCTCCGGGCAAAGCCTTTGGTCTGTGCTGGGTCTTGTCCCCGTCGCAGAGTCATTCCCTCCCAAACTGCTGAACTCCCTGATGGAAACTCTCAGCAGAAGAATGGGATCCAGTGATAGCAGTCAGGTTCCTTGCCCATCCCAAAGACTTCATATAGATTAAAATTAAACTCTGTGCTTTGTTACTGTCAAAGGCATAATGTGAGTGAAGTAAATGAATCATTCCAGTACAATCAAAACTTTATTAAAGCGTTTATGATGTTAAGGGGTGTAGGAACAGATCAGTTCCTCCTTTCTGCCCCATAGTACAAGAAGGGGCTGTAAGTGGCCACAGGAACACGGTGTCAAAGAAAATGAATGCCTCCTCATGCAGGCCACAGTCTGCTGAGTTCACAGCTCCAAGACACAACATTAAATGCCTTTGCTTGGCTTTTAAAGAGGGTTGGCAGTTTTATAACAAGTAACATCTTTGCCCGTGTCCCTGCAAAGGCGAGGGGTTACATTTCACCCTTCAGCCTGGAGGATAGAACCATAGGAGTCTGGGGAAGTGGTCTTCTCCAGGTGCAGCTCATTGGGAGTATTATAGATAAATTGTCCCCTGAGCTACCAGGCAGTAAACCACTATTAAAGCACAGAAACTCGTGGCATGGTGGGTCAGTGTAAAGAGCAGCCAGTTGGCAACACACATGTAGGGATATATGTGTGCCCCCTGTGCCAAACAGAGCACTCGTCCACTCTGAGTAACCCTCTTGCGTGGGTGACCTGTTGGTACATGGCCATGGAGGTCCATGCAGGGCAGTGTACTCATCTCTCACCAGGCTGCCCTGCAGACTTACCCTTTGTCATTCCTGCACAAGCCCAGTGGTAGCTAAATCCGTGTCCTGCGTAGTGTATTTCTTCTACCCTCTTTGTAGCACAGAGACAGATGAAATGCAATCACACCCTAATAGATAAGCAGTAATTGGAGACTGGGATGACTGACAGAAAACAGGAATAGAAAATACAGCAATGAAAATAGATTTATGGAAAAATTAGAATTATACTTTACAAGATACATGTTTAACTGAAAAATTTTGCTTCTTAGATTTGGGGTCTATAAATGAGTGTCTGAATCCCAGTTATGGTTAATGCAATAGCAATAGCATTTGTTGTTTATGCTTGCAAAGACTAAGGAGTTTCTTTTAGGCAACACAACTGTAGCAAATTGATTTGACAGGCAAGCTCACATGGTCTGATGGGAACATTGCGAGACTGATCCATGTGTCATAAGAAAATGAAGCTATTTCCCTATCTATTTGGGGATCACTGGAGGGGCATGGGGATGGTGGCTTTTGAACGAGCACGAGGTTGATTCCTGGAGGCTGCATCTTCTCCTCCCGGACACAGAGGTCATGTCTACCCTCCACATTTTTGCCTGTCTGCATCCAGCTGGCTGGGCTGCATAGGGGAGCACAAATGCTTGGTTTGGTGTGTGAAAGGGGATGTGTAGTTAGGGAACATCTCTGGTGTTTTTAAGTACTGGGATAATCACAGCATGGTCCACAAAATCTTCCCAAATTTGGCTACTTGGAACAGGTTGCCCAGAGAGGCTGAGGGAGCTTCATTCTGGGGTGCGATAAAATGCTGGGGCTGGTGCCGTAGGCTGCCCATCACCGTAAGCCACATGCCAAAGTCATCTGCTGGCCTTGGGACCAAGGGTGAATTTTAAGCAGGCATCTGAGACAGGCTGAGAGAGTTGGGTTGTTAAGCCTGGAGAAGAGAAGGCTCCAGGGAGACCTTAAAGCCCCTTCCAGTCCCTAAAGGGGCTCCAGGAGAGATGGGGAGGGACTCTTTGTCAGGGAGTGGAGTGATAGGATGAGGGGTAACGGTTTTAAACGGAAAGAGGGGAGATTTAGATTAGATATTAGGAAGAAATTCTTTACTGTGAGGGTGGTGTGAGACTCAGGCCCAGGTTGCCCAGAGAAGCTGTGGCTGCCCCATCCCTGGAGGGGTTCAAGGCCAGGCTAGATGGTGCTTTGAGCAACCTGGTCTGCTGGGAGGTGTCCCTGCCCATGGCAGGGGGTTGGAACTTGATGGTCTTTAAGGTCCCTCCCAACCCTAACCATTCTGTGATTCTATGATACTTTATTAGGTTGATATTTGTATTCCTGTAGCACCCAGATATTTCTTGCAGAAGCATTTTGCCTCATTCATGGTACCAACCAAAAAGTGGCAGCCATGGCCATGCCAGCCACGTGTGGGTGGTTGGGGTACGATTTTAGCATTCGTAGCCCATACAAGGCATCTCCTGTGAGCGCAGCGAAGGGGGAGCAGTTTGCAGAGAGTCTACAAAAATGGATGTTGGCACAAGCGTAACATCGTATAGAACAATAGTGATTTTGTATTGCGTTTCCATAAGGACTCGATAACATCAGCCCTCGGCCCCGTCGCTACAGGCTCTGAACACGACATCAACTTTGTCTTTCTCCCAGGAGGGAGCCTCACCCTGCTCCTCTCTGTCTGCTCTGGGGACCTGCAGGGAGACACCCCACTGCAGAGACGGTGAGGGCAGCATCTCCAGGAGGAATTCATCCCACCACGGGAGGGAAACCTGCTTCCCCGGGGAGTCCCCATCCAAACTGCCATCCACCCTCAGAGGGATTGCAGCCAGCTAGAAAGGTCCGGTCCCCGTCTTAAAAATCACACATAAGAAAAGCTAAATCAGGTGGTGAAAGACTGTAGGCAACCACATTCTTCTTCTTGTTCTTTTCCCCTCTTACACTGACCTTTGAAAATGAGACCACTTTAATCCCAAGCTGGTGGCAGCCCTTGGGCAGGAATCTGACTCGCAGTGTTTTGGGCAGCAGAGCTGACCTCTTGCCGTGGAATTTCACCTAGTAATTTCTGCGGCAGAAAGAAACCCCTCCGAGGGGGTTGTCTGGCTTCACAAGTAAATTTAAGTGCCTGTGGCTTGACAAATAAACATTCTGAAAGCGCTTAAATGACTCACAACCTCGCCTAAGAATAGCTGAACTTTGCGAGACCGAAACACGCAGCGGAGAATTCGGCCTCTGACACTGCCCGAGCGTGGAGCCGAGGGGTGCGGTGGGAGAAGGGGTGCGATGGCACCGTGCCTGCATTCCTGCCCTCCCCTCCTGGCCCTGGGCAAGCAGCATCTCGGGGGCTTCTTCAGCCGTCGTGTGGAATAGCCACCTCGGAGCTCTCTTCCACCAATTCACCTAATCCGCTTTTAAACACCCGATTGTGTTTCATTTATGCACACAGCAAAGTACTCCTCGTTTATCCCGGTCGTTTGAAAGCGCTGTTATTCTCTTGGATTGAAGAGGGGGGGGTCACAAAAGTTTTATGGATAGACACATTATGCTTTGGAGCACCTAACATTTTATAGAAGAGAAAGTCTTTGTCTTCAAGTTATCAAGCAAGTACAACCTCAGTGACTGAAAAGGGGAACCGATTATGATTGTTTGCTGAAAAGTGGGGTTTTTGGTAGTTGCTGCTTGCTTTTCTGGGGCACGCTTGCAGAAGTGAGGGCTGTGAACTGCCACCGCTTGACTTCTTACCCCCCCACGCACTCTTAGTGCTTTTATCTAACTCCAGGCAAAACAGAACAAAACACAAGTTCAGCTGAATGTCTGTGACCGCAAGAGCTTCCTGTAGGTGCCCAGAGTTTCTGTTGCAAAAGCCCCGTTGTTGCCACTAAGGCTCAGGGATGGTCATGGCTTTGGGGACGAGCCTAAGGGACAGGTAACGGCGTAGCTGCACCGTCCCAGGAGCAGCAGGAGAGGGGCTGTGCCTCGAAGGCCACGACTCTTGCATCAAAGTAGGTTTGTTGTTCAGGAAGAGGAGAAGAAAATAACGTGGGAGTCATCTTCCTCCTACACCAGCCAGTGATGCCAGAAGAAAAACCTTTCTGATATCACGGTCCCTCTCTTTTGGGCCCTGACAGGGGCAGGGGTTGTCCTCATGGTGTGAAGCCTGAAGGTTCCCGAGATGTGCTTTTCCCTTGATTCTTTGATCCGTTGTTAAAATCATCAGGAAATGTCTTCCTCTTGTTCACCACCCGAGCCCCTCGCGTGGGGGTGAGGACAGATGGAGCTGGGCACCGACCCTGCTCTGATTTACAGCATTTACCACCCAGAGCTGAAAGCCATTTGGGCTCCTCTCGAAGGATGGGGAGATAACAGGGATAACAGGGAGCCATGTTCATCCCGGTGGATGCCAAGTCCACAGCCCTGATGGAGGCCACGGGGCCACCCCAGGATGGCTGGAGCCACCGCTCTCCCATGCTCCAGAGCAGGCAGGAGCAGGGCCGGGGTTCACCTCTCCATCTCAAGACAAGGGAAATCAACAGCTTTGCCCAAAGTCGAAGGTATTATTGCAAATCTAAACTACTAATTTCTGATAAGCACTAAACTCCTGATTTCTGCCTGCCCCCAGAGCCTGGAAAAGAAGTATTACGGTGACATGCTGCGAGGGGGTTGACGATGAGCACGAAATCACAGGAGGAGACTCAAAACCTAAACCTAAAATTGCATTTTGTTTAGGTTTTCCAAGTGGGTGCATGAAGATATGGTGCAAACCGGAGGCGCTGGGGGACAGCTGGCACCAATACAGCACCAGTTCTGCAGCCACCCCCCCCCCCCC